TTCGTTACAGATAGGGACTCAGCCCTGGAGTTCCAGCTCAGAGAGGTACGATTGCAGTCTAGGGGCATGTATTGATCAGACATATTTTGACATTCGACCGGCCGGTCTAACTTGAAAATTTTTGACTCAAACCTGGCTCTGATACCACTAAATGTAACACCCCAAACCGATGCGGGTAGCCCGATCCGATTCGAGAAGTCACATTAGGGCCACCGGAGCGACCCACCGTAAAAATAGCAGAAATTTTAAAACTTTTTTATCAGAACATGTAAACTTATAAAATCATTTATCACTATTTAAAAATAAAACAGATTTCCAAACTCGTATATAAAACAAAATACAATTACATGCCCCCTAATCACAAGTACCATACTCTGCAACCACGCCGGAAGAACTCCCTTACTGAAGTCGATAGATGTACTGGTACAATTGTTTTAACCTGAAAATGTGAGTAATAGAGTGAGCTTTGGGAAGCTCAGTAATACAGAACTACCAGATGATGCTACATGACATGTAGATAAATGGAAAGCCATATAATTTCCTTATTGAATCATATGTATACCAGCTTGCAGAATAATTTGGGGTTCCCTTAGAAGTTCATCGAGTAGAAGCCATGAATCTCAGTTCATAAGAAATCTTTCATACTATCACGTTTTCATGAGGTCGAACAGGATATCTAGTGTGTTCTATCAGTACGATAAAATCATAATAGGTACACTAATCAAATGATAGTTCAGTAAAATCCCATAAAGCATACTGTAGTGGAGCTTTTTAAACTCGTATTTTAAAACCATCTTACAAGAGTTAACCTAAGGGAACATCTTAGGGCCTGAGAGCCTACCCAAGAAAGTTCGGGGCCACGGGGCCTACCTAGAACACATCTTAGGGCCACGGGCCTACCGAGAATGATCTCAGGGCCGCAGAGCCTACCTAAGAGTCACATTAGGTCCATAAAAATTTTCCAGCTTGATCAGAGCTGTACTTTACAAAACTGTATATCCAAGATACAACTTATACCGTGATACAAATCCATAAGCCATCACCATTAAGTCGGCGCATCCATAAAACAGTAACCATAAATTTCAGTGTACCACATGTTAAAACAATAAAACAATTTATTAAATATAAGGAACACACTAGAGAAATCCCAATATTATCATAGGCATTTTGTAGTCATCAGTATGGATAACATGAACTTGTGCAATTTGATCGGATTCCAGGAATAAGATCTTATTGAAGAGAATCAATTTCTAACCGATCTAATCAGACATTTCAAATTGATACTTTAGAATTCCACTAAGTTTCCACGTGCATCAGAAAAACGTTCAGGAACCTTTATACATAATAATTCTAAATTCAGATTTACTGCGAGTGATTCCATTACCCAAACAATCAGGGGTATTCAGGAATATACTTGAATTCATAGGATTTCAACCCAATGTACCAAATGAGGTATTCAGAATCTTTTCCTTCTGCATTACTTGCGTTTTCAAACATGACCGAATTGATTTTAGATCAAAATATGTAATCGAAGATTCAAGTCATTTACGATCTATGACTATCGATAGTATTATCAAACAACTCAAGTTACACAACTCACAGACGATGCATGTCAACAAATCAATTCATTATCCTTCCAATGCATTCACTCTTTAATACCAAAATGCATATCAATAGATCATCCCCATAATTATCGCTGAATAGATCTTCCAACGGTCTTTATTACATTTCCATGTTTCAACGATATCAGAAAATATGGACGTACTTGATTCATGTTCATAACCCATAAGGACAATTCATACAGTGTTTCCAAACTCATCCAATCACCTATTTAATCCTCGGTCATTGAGGTTACTTAGTTCATTTAGTAAGCAAGTTATCCCGGTTACTTTAGAGTTTTCCAGAATAGTTCAGACATTTCTGAATCTCAAATACATGTTGCACTTCCTTTCAATTCAATTTAGTCATATAATAAAGTCATTCTGGTATTCGTGGTTGATTTATCTCACGAACACCCACTTATTAGTACTGTATGCATTCTAAAGTTGAGCTGAACCAAGTACTTCCAGAATTATCATCGATCCAAATTTGAGAAGACGAACAAACATTCAAGTGGTAATTATATCATTCAGGTAATGATATAGCACTAGCGTTGGTTGATCACTTAAGTTGCGTTCCATAACTTTTACTGGTAGCACAACATCCATGTTTATTTGGATTTCTTAATTAATCCAATACATTTACTTATTCTAGGTCATAAGGGCATTTTGGTTCTCAACGTTTTTCTATTCATTACAAAGCTTTGAGTATATCCATTCATTCATGAGCTTGGTGACATTCTTGAGTCATTTCCATTCCAAGGTATTTTGGTCATTTTACAATTCTAGAATATTTCAATCATTTCCTTCCATCCGGTCTTATTATTTAATTCAATCTTATCATTTACTTCAGTCCTTTCGAACAATTCTATCAGCAGAATACCTCCAATAAATTACTCTTCAAGTATTACTCCTTACTCGAATATTTCGGGTCAAGTGTCTTCTCAGATTTTACAAACGAAATATTATAAATTTTTCTGTACAAAGACATGATCTTAACGATTAAATTCGTACTTAATCGAGTTAAGTACAAATCCTCAAAGTACTCTCTCATTCAGGGTCAATTCAGACTGTTTTATCTCTCAAGGGCATTTTCGTAATTTCTTAACCAAATAATTTCAATATTAGCACTTAACGAAAATAATTATAATTTAGAGATCCTATGATCAATTGCTTTCCCGAACATTCTTTGATTTGAAATGATTCCTTCACAAACTCTCATAGGATTAAAACCGATTATCCATAATTTCCAAATAAAACTAACATTTCTTATGCACATCAGTAGTTATATCGGATCAATATGTATTTTCAGAGTTATTAACCAACTTCCAGGGCAATTCTTATCATTTTCCAACATAAGGGTAATTTCGTAATTTTACCATATCGGAGTATTCTCATAATTTTTCATCCAAGTATCTTTAACATTTAACCCTTGATGATATAAAATATAAGTTACAAATCCAGAGCTGATTTCTTATCACCAATCACAAACTTGTAATTTAATTCTAACAATTATCAATCTCTTATCTTAGTCATTCGATCCGTATTCAGTTACAGAATTTCTACCACATTCATATCGAGTGAATTAATTATTCAACTCCACAAAAGTGACCAACATTATCTTATTCATGCATTTACCAATATCAACATGTTCCATAAAGCATAAATAGGTAGTAAAGTATTACCTCGATTTCCGTGCAATACTGATCAACCATAAAATTTCATTCGAACGCCTTTGATCTTCAATTCAACTTCCAATAATTCCTCAGATACATATCAACATAAATTATATCAGAAACGGAGCTTAATTGCGATAAACGGATCGAATCGGGTGATAAATCAGTGAAAGACGGCTTACCGGGTTTGAATTTGGCGAAACGGACTTCGGATTCGGATTCAGGACGTCGAAAGCATAAAATATGACTTTTCGGAAATTTGGAATTTTCGGTCAAAATCAAAGTCAACGGGTTTGACCGACAATTTCGAGGCCTTCGGGTTCGAATTTCGAAAAACTGACAGCGGAATCGGATTTGGGACGTCGAAAAATGTTAGGATAGGTATACTCGGTCGAAGTCAAAGGTCGTTTAATGCCCGATCAAAGCCGGTCAAAGTTTTGGTCAACAATGGTCAACGCCAATCAACGGTCAACGGGTCAACGGTCAACGGGTCAATGGGTCGGGTCAACGGGTCGGGTCGGGTCGGGTCAACTGGTCGGATAAACGGGTCGGGTAAACGGGTCGGGTCGGGTCGGGTCATGACCGGTCAAACGGTCAACTATCCACCAAAACCGGTCAAACCGGTTACTTTTGTCTTCCCCACGCGCAGTGCGGCGCGTGGGGCGCGTGAACAGTGGTAAAATCCCGGAAAAATTTCTAAAATTATTTTGAGCGATTTCGAGATACTTACAAAGCTCGGTTCACAATTTTGAACGGCGGAGAGCTCGATTTCAACAAATCGGAAAGTTTGACCGGTTCACCTCCCAACGCGCCGCCGCCGCCGGAGAAAAAAGAGAACACCGGTGGACTCGGAACGGCACAAGGAACACGATGGTGAGGGAGGTGTCGTAAACGGATGACCCGATCGTCTTGAATCGATGAAAAACCAACTAAAACCGAGTTATTACCGACGATACTTCCGACTGAAATTCACGACGAACGGCGATGATTCACGACAAAAGGTTTGAGGGGTTTTGTTCCTCGGTTGACAACGAACACGATGGTGGTTTCGGCTCGTCGTTTGGAGGTCGGACGACGAGTAGATCGGAGTTGGAAGCTGGGTTGTTGGAGAGGGGAAAACTGGAAAATATGCATCTGCGCACGGGGAGAAGAGATTTATAATTCAACATATATCAACAATGGGTAAACCAAGAGTTTAGCCACTGAACTTTATGCACTTTATAAAACGGTCTGCCAACTTTGAAATCTTATAATTTAATACCCGATTCCTTCCAAAAATACCAATTAAATTCATCACTTTATAATTTCTTAAATTTAGCCCCTAAATTGGGGTGTTACAATTTAATCGTCTGTAAACCTTTAATGGATATACAGGAAACAATACAATTATACAAATAACAATAGAACAACCTTTAATGGTCCCTAGATGCAAATTATCATCTTCGTCTTCATCACGTCAAGTGGCTTTCAATGCAATAATAAATCTCACCGATCTTTTTTAATAGTCTAGGGTGATTACAATGCAGTATCTATTTAGATACATAATTTTTTTAATCAATTGACGATACACACTTATAAACTTAGTTGCTCGGATTTGAATCCTCTGAGAAAAAAAAATATTCTCTTTTACCATGAAAGTGACACAATGGTTCCATTTGTATATAAAAGGTGTCATTCAAGTATAGATTCAAGCATCGTTTACATATAGGAAAAATAAAAGACAGACATGGCAATGATTCCAGTTATAGACTTCTCAAAACTAGACTTGATAAAGCCGGGCAGCCTCGAATGGGATTGGGTGAAATCTCAAGTCATGGGAGCACTGGAAGCGTACAATTGTTTCGAGGCGTCGGTCGGTCGAGCCGTCGAGCATCGAGAGCCGGTGTTTAGGGCCATGGAAGATTTCTTTCACTTGCCTTTTGAAACAAAAAGGCTTTGTGAGTCGAAGAAGCCCTTTCGTGGCTATTTTGGCCCTCCACCACTAGGGTTGCATGAAAGCTTATCGATTGATGATGCAGATGTTGCTGAAAACCTTGAGCCCTCACCACCACTTTGTGGCCTCAAGGAAACATAAGCTTCCGGTAATTTAGAAATGTGTCTAATTATGAATTCCATCCCTCTATTTTACTATAAATTGAAAATATTAAACTTATTTTTGTCCAAATTAAAATTGTTTGGTTTGGTCATTTATTTGCTCTGGATTTGACAGTAAAACAATGGCATCATTCATTCAACTTGTATCAAAATTAGAGAAGACAATTATGAGAATGATTTGGAGAGTTTCGGGGTAGAGAAATACACGGATGAGCTCATTGACTCCACAAATTATCAGCTAAGAGCCTTGAAATATGAAGGTCCAAACACCAACGAGCCAGTTGTTATGTCCGTTCCGCACAATGACCTCAACATGATCACTCTTTTGTATCAAAACGAGATTAACGGATTGGGGATTCAAACCGAAGCCGGCGAATGGATCGATGTCAAGCCTTCACCGAGCTCTATAATCGTCATCATCGGAGAATCGCTTAGTGTATGGTTAAACGGTAGATTGTCTCCGACTCGTCATCACGTCGTTACGACGGGAAACAGAGTCCGATATGTCGTCGGGTTGTTCGCGAGGACGAGAGGAGGCTACCTAGTGAAGGCTCCGAATGAACTGTGGATGATGAAAATCCGAGGCTCTTCAAACCCTATGACCACGAAGACTTCATTGAACATTTCTCCACCCAACTTGATCAGGGAAACAGGACAAATCTTATAACTTATTGCAGTATCTAAGATTTGGACATAATAAATGAATTTTATTATGATGTTACTAATGCTTTGTCTATCAAGGGAGCCACCTGTTGCTTAATTCTTCTATTCCGTTCTCACTCATATCCCCTAGACTCATATACCAGAGTCTAATAACATCATCATCAAGGACGGACGCAAGATTTTATGTTAGGGGCGAATTTAACTTATAAAATTTCAGAAGAACGAACTTAAATCTATAAAATTTTAGAAGGAGAATCTCAAGAAGTAAATAAGGCGTAAGATTTACGCATTCATTACTTTTTACTTTATTGTTCACCATTTGCATTAATAAACTACGAAATGGTTAACAATGTTTTTTTTCATTGAAGGAAAATGATAAAAGATGGGTAATTACTTATTTAGTATTTATATTATTAGTTTTGATCCGTTTTAGTGCCTAAACTTTTAAATTTTTCAAAGTCATACTTAATGTTTAGATTTTGTTTCATTTTAGTATTACACCGTAAAAAACTTAACGTGTTTAATGCCTAAACTCTCAGTTTTGGTTTATTTTAGTACCTAAACTTTCAATTTGTTTAAAATATTAACTTTAAATTTTTAGAGGATACTAAAATGAAATAAAAACTAAACTTTATGTATGGTTTTGAGAACGAGCCACTCGAGCTTCATCTACTTGCTGCCAAGAGGATCTTGAGGTATTTGGCAGGGACCCTGGACTATGGTTTGGAGTTTTCGCCATGCACAGAATCACTTCGCATTATAGCGTTTGTAGACGCAGACTGGGCAGGCTGTGTTGATGATAGACGATCCATGTCCGGACATTGTGTTCTTGTAGGCAACAACGTTGTGTCATGGAATACTAGAAAACAAAAAGTTGTGTCGAGGTCAACCATGGAGGCCGAGTATCGAAGTCTCACGGATGTTGCTGCTGAAGTTACCTGGATTAATGCCCTTCTTCACGATCTGAGTGCTGCAAATCGAACCACCAATCATCTGGTGTGATAACAGCAGCGCAATTGCCCTTAGTGCAAATCCTATCCATGCACAGTCAAAACATGTAGACTTGCATGTCCACTTTGTGCGAGAAAAGATAGCAGCAAAAAATCTGTGTCAGTTATGTGTCAGCTTCTGATCAAGCGGTCGATGGGCTGACAAAGCCTTTGTCCAAAGTTGCTTTTTGCCATGTTCAGAGAACGAGTAAATGTTGCATGCTAAAGGAGGGAGAAGAAGAAGCAGGAGAATGTTGAAAGAATAAAAGATAGGACTCACATGCATGGTCTAGGATCGGGTGTACGTAAGCAATGTATGAGTTCGTAGTGTTAAACTTACTGCAGTATCTAAGGCAATGTTTATGTATTATTCGACAATCTGTCTTTTATTACTGTCCTTTTGCTTACTTTCCTTCATTAATAAAGTTACCATGGCTTAGCAATAGGTATATAAACTGTGGTAAACTTAATTCGTAGTTGTGGATTGATGGTTTGCTTTTTTTTCATTTTGAATTCGATTCATTCTTGTAGGAAGGGGATTCGAAATTTTAGGAGAACAAAATTAGATTTTTAATCGAAAATACAAAGAAAATATTTAAAATATTCAGAAACTTAAAATATTTACAAAGACTTAGGTAAGTGAGGCTCGTGGGTCTAATATTTTAATATTTTTTGAAAATAGTCACGTCGACATGATGAGTCCTGATAAAATATAATTTCTTTATAAAATTAAATAATTATTTTTAATTTAAATTAGTTTAAAAAAAATAAAGGAACTCGTCACGAAGACATGACGAGTTCCAAGTGAATTTAAAATTAAATAGTCGTTTATAATCGGGGATAACGGGCAGGATTTCATATTTTAAAAATATAGACGTTATAACTCATCACATCGACGTGATGAATTTCATCTAATTTTGTTTATAAATTATTTTCAAAATAATTTATTACGTTAATATAAAAGTTTTTTAAACTAATACATTCACTGAAAATAAAATTAAAAAATTAGTTATATTTATTTAATTCTTAACGATGCCGAGAAGTGGTCAAATAATAATGGTGCGGGTCTGTCGATTTCTTTGTGGTCGTCTGCCTTGATTGTCTTATCTTCGTTTGCTTCTTCTTCAACAGGAGATGCACTGAACATCACTCCACTTTGATTCTACCATCAAGTGACGATGATAGAATATTTAAGGTATTTGATGACGTCGTTGACTCGAATTACCCATCAAAATCAGTACCTTCGTTGATCATATAAAATATGATCTCATTCATCCATAGGGCCTGTCGAATATGGTTGAGCGCCTTGCATTGCAACCCATGAACCTCCAATACAATTCGATCGACTCTAAACCTTAAACCCAAACCGTAAACATTAAACAAAAGCATAACCAAAATAAAGAAGATGTTGATGTTGGTGATTTCTTACCCTTTGCATATTTGACCTTCATTTCTTCTCATTCGACCCTATCTCCCGATGTTGTTAAATATGGTTTCTTATTTGCTTTAAAATTTCGGAGGTAGGGAGATATTTCGAAATCAAGATCAGTGGTTGTAATCACGAAACAAATAGGCAAAGATAGATGTCGCTCATTCCATTGCTGAATGTATACATCATGCTTTCTCAATCAATCTCTATATGCCTCCCATGAATATCAATTTTATGAGATCGTCCATCTCAAATATTTGCATAGGAATCAACTGATGGACGAAAACTGGTACAACACTCTATTTCCGGCATGTATCTCAACAATCGTAAAATGAAGCCAAGGAGTTACGACACACTACAACTACGAGCCTTAAAAAAAATCCCACTAGCAGCAAACAATAGATCTCTGGCTCAGAATATGAAATCCAACAAAACTGAAACATTAACTAAAATATAAAAAAAAATAGTATAAATTATAAATAAATAAATAAAAATTTAAATAATTTACTAGAATAATATTTACCGCTTGTCGACCGGTGATCAATATTTATTACACTCGATAATTTTATATCGCCGTCTAAACAGTATAATAAAAAATAAGGATAAAAATAAATATAAAAAATTAGTAAAAAAATAATTTTAAAAAATTTATCTTCCCATTAGAGGAAACTCATTTGGGGCTGATGTAATTGGTGTAAAACACGAGAATCGATACCACGCCTAGGACTATAGCAAAACTAGACAAAAAATGTCAAAATCGTTAAACCCCAACTAGTGTTACGACACTTAGTGAAATTATTCAATATCAGAAGATACCTAGTGTGTGTCAAATTGTTGGTTTTATCGGTAACAATATCCCTCAAATCAATTGGAGAAGATATGACCGGGATGCAAATTTGACCTAATCCTTGGTAGATTCTTCATTAACTTGAAATTCGGACTACAACCAAGCCATTCGTATCCGTATCTCGTCTACGACATCTAGTAGTGCCCTCTTTCCCAAAATTTGCTCAACAATATCAAATCGGTTGTGCCTCACTAGTGTCACACCATTTATCGAAACATCGAGTTGGTAAAGCGACATCTTCCAACATAATCGTCTCTTTACCACTCGAAAAAATGAAAATATACGTTTCGGGCTTCCAACATTCAATTAGAGCCGAAATCAATACAAGTTCATCTTAAAACCACGAAGAAATGTGGTTGTATAGTACCCGGATTGTTGTAGATATATAATAATCCATTGATGTGAATCTTTAACTGTCATACCTCATTGGCGAATGCCCCATTCTTCTTCCTACAATATCAACTTCAACTAATTAATCAAAATTTCAAAACAACAAAATTAATAATTTGAACTATTAAAAATATAAGAAAATATTTTTTACTAGAGTGAGTTCAAGCGAGGAATATGGACAACATCAAAGTGTAGCATTTCATCTCGGTTAGACATTTTAACAGGAATTCTTCAAAAAATAAAAACAAATTTTTCTCAAGAGTAATTTTCTTCTTCTTAACAATATACAATAAAAATCCAAAACCCAAACCCAACTGCTAGAATTTTAAAAGGTCTCATGAACTCATCATCTCGACATGACGGGTTCTAAAGTGACCATTGCTTCTGCCTATTGCCCAACGATTATAAACGACTAGTTAATTTTAAATTTCAAAGGACTTCACGTCGATATGACGAGCTCCGCTATTTCTTAATCATTATATATTAAAAATTAATTACTTGATTTTTAAAAAAATATAAATTATTTTAAGTAAACTCATCATGTCGATATGAAGAGTTTCTATAAATATATTAAAATATTCAACCCACAAGTCCCACTTATCTGACTCCATTTAAAAATATTATTTGAATAAATAAGTCACGTCGACAAGACAAATTTGCCATGCTCTGTAGCATTTGTTATATTTACCAAAATAAAATTTTAGATAACTTAATGTGTCAATTAATTACACCTCCTAACCTAATGGGTCAATTTTATCGAGAACTATAAGTGCTTGGCCCAATTAAACCTGGCCCTAGAACATTAAATTAGAAGTTTTCGATACCCGAATTAAACGTACCTGAAGACAAAATTTTCCATCAAATATTTAATGATCTTTTATTTTTGAAGTCTCCAATTTAAAACCTTAATTAAATTGGGATAACTCGTATCAATTGTTTCTTAATTTTAAAATTATTAAATTTATATTGGCTTCAAAAATATTTCTCTTTAACCAACATCCAGTTGGTCTAGTGGAATGAGGTATTACGTCCCTTAAGCAAGGTCAGGAGTTCGAATCTTGGCGTTTGTGAATGGAGTAAACTAGGTTGGGAGGGTTGCCCTCGACTCTGTAGTACCCGATCTGGATTAGTTGGTCAATAGATCGGATACCAGTGATTAATTCAAAAAAATATTTCTCTTTTTTTTTTCCTTTCATTTTTTATTTTTTCTAGGTGATTTCGATTATCCATGAGATTGCAATGTCTTTTCTTTGTTTCGAGTGTGCTCGTTATTACCCCTCTTATTATTATTTATCTTTTTTTGTTATTTTTTAAATTATCGATATCTAATCTATTAATAAATTATTCAATATCGAACATTATAGAAAAATATTATAAGAGTTATCATTCCAACCCAATTTACTCCATTCACAAATAGTTCGAACTTCTGACCTTGAGTCTAATACCTCATCCATAGAACCAATTGATTATTGACATTTATCTTCTTCTTATGTGATCATGGTATAATCTCAAACGAATAATTTCTTTTATAATAATTAAAAGAATATATCATAATTATATATTTAATTTATGATTATAATCGAATCTTTTATTATAATTTTATTTTTTTATAACATGTGCCTAATATTTTTTTTTGTTTACTTGAATAACATTATTACAGTTTAAAGACGCTATGAACAAAAAATTATATATTAAGTACCAAATATAGAAAATAGGTAAAGGTTAGGGCAAATGGTGCATAAGCCTAATCAAAATACAAGTAGCAAGTAACTTGATATCGTTTAGGTAGATCTTTACAATGGTTGATCTAAAATATTTTTCAGAATGAACGCACATATATTAACAACATAAATTTTAAATAAAATGAGTACAAATAAAATTTCAAGTGGACACGGTCTATCATTGAGTCTCGAGTTTAAAACTTTATGCATAAAAAAATTCATAATAGAAGATTTACCTGCTAATACGACGAGAGTCAATCCAGATTAACGAGGGTAAAGCCTTGAATCCATAAGGAAAACTATATATATTAAACACTTGCACTTATGTACAACCGTAAAAGTTGAGGAGCATGTTAGCAATTCTTTACTTATTCATCTAAGGAACGGAAAGGGAGAACACTCGAATAACGCGGGGATATAAAATCATTCCGTAGGTCCTTCATCTTATAGTGATTTTCGGTGGCGACTTCCTTCGTTTTCACCTCACTCCTTTGTTTCTATTTCTCTCTGTACTTCTACTTCTTCTATCCTCATCTCTATCCAACCGCTACAAGGTACGTTTTTTTAATATTTTTTCTGTTATTTATTTATGGGTTTCAGATGCCCATCAATTGACCAACTGCAATTTCAATAGACGTGTTGAATTAGTTTGGCCATTAGGGTTACGAATGTTGTTTGTTTTTATTCTTTGCGTTTATGTTTGGCTCGCCATGGTTTTGATATATGGGTGTGATTGTGGGATTTGGGGTTTCGTTCTGATGAAATTAGTCTAAGCCTAAACAGTTGGTTGCGTTTGTTTAGTATTCTTGTGATTGTTTTAATGCTCTATCTAATGACTCAAAAATTGATCTTCCCATTGTTCCCCCCCCCCCCGTATTCTGGGTGTATGAAACTGATTGAGACATATGCATGAATGATTGTTTGTTTGCAGATATTTTTTTTTTTAGTTTTTATTTAGAGAATTAATGGGTGCCCTATGGGAAATTGTATATATATATATTTCCTTTGTTAAGTTCTCTACAGGTTTAATTAGGTGTAACTGGTTTTTGGTATTTTTGTAATGCAATTAGGCTCTTGATCAACTTTATTGTTAGTCAAGACAAAAGATAAAATGGAAAGTTGAGAGTTTCTGAGACATTCATGTACAAGGTGGACAATTGTATATTATAAATATATATTTGATTTTTAATTAAGCCTTTCTACTGAATGTGATGTTACCCTTTATAAATGCATGTGAAAAGATTTAATGCTTCATTATCTTTATAAGATTGAATATTGAACCGTGTTTTAAGGGGTTTTTTTCCTCTATGCCTTTGTCTTTTGTTGTTATTGATAGTGTTCTTTAATAACCAGTGTTCATCTGGTCTTTTAGAGTCATATTCACCCAAGATAAGTCTGCTAGCTCTCACATGTACTGATAATAATGAGAAAGATATGCTTGTAAAGTGTAAAAATTTCACCAAACTATAGGAGTAAACTATCTAACTTCTACAGTTTATCCAATTGCATCATCATTAGAAGTATGAAAGAAACATTTTCTTATTCAGCAGTTGCCACTAAGCACTCGCATCTCAAGTGCATGGTGGAGTCATCCGCTTGTCGTTTTTGGCTTTTAGTTGGTAAGATATCAATAATCAATTCATGGTTGATATTTACTTTTATTCTTATTGATTGTATTTGTTGGACCTTGTGAAATTTATAGGAGTCACTCAATTATATTAGACTATTGTCATGAATTTTCTCAGTTTCACTTTTTGGATAACCTTTCTGAAAATGAATGGATTTTGGCCCTCTTTGCAGTAGTTTAACAAACTCTCTGCCCTCTCTACATGATGCTGCCTTGGGGGGGGGGCTTATTCTGGTCTGTTTAATGGAGGCCTCTAACATGATAATGATGCTTGTTCATTGTTTACTGCTTTCTAGGCTAATCGGATTGCTGAGATGTCCAATAGCCCTCAATTTTCAGGTGTATAGGCAGCCTGTGATTGAAAGAATGTTTTTCTGATAGAGTTTGGTCTTAATGTAATTATGAAATACGATTCTTTTCCTTCACTGGGCTTATGTACTATACATGGAAATTTTCCCTAGAGAACTGGTGTCTATTTTCCCCCTTAGTTAGAAGTGGCCATGCTACAAATAAATGCTAATTGCTTCACTTTTTCCCTGAATTAGCATCACACACCACCTATCGTAGGCTCAATGGATCCATCTCAAAATTTCCCTCCACCTATGTTGGGTCAGGTATTAACTTATCTTTTTGTTCTTCCTAATGTCTATGTCGTATTGTTCAATGCTATCTGTATAAATTATTTTCCAATTTATGTATGGGTGTATGTATCTATATATTATGCAGTTCCGACCTGTCGTTCCATCTCAGCAGCCACAACAATTTGTTTCAGTGCCTACTCAGCATTTTCAACCTGTTGCCATGATGAATGCTGGGTTTCCTTCTCAAACTCCACAACCCCAATTTCCTCAAGTAATGCCACAATTACCAGCTAGACCAGGCCAACCAGGCCATATTCTACCTGCGCCACCCGCAGTTTCATTGCCAGCTGCACAGCCTAATCAGCATGTTAATCCTGGGGCATCACTGCCTCAACCTAATATTCAAACTCCAACCAACTATTTTCCTGGTGTCCCAGCAGCACACCTCTCTTCATCATATACAGTAAGTGATTAAGAATTTATTTGTTTAGTGTTATTTTTTTTAACCTTGAGTTTATATTCATGTCTTTGCAGTTTGCACCATCTTCTTATTGTCAGGTGCCGGTGTCTCATAATGCCATGGCTCAATATCAACCCATGGCACAATTGCAGGTGCCTAGTGTTCCTATTGGAGGCCAGGTGGGTGTCCATGTGAGCCAGAGTACTTCTGTCACATCAGCGCAGCAAATTGGTGAACAAATTTCTTTTTCCACAGCTACTATTCCAGTAAGAGCATTCATCTGCCTTCACCTTTTGCTACAAATATAAACCAAACACATCTGCATCTTGTATTTTTTTTTTTGTGATTCTGTTTGTGCAAGTACCACATCCAGTTCACAGTTTTATGTACTTTCAGATACCCATCATTCAGCCAAAGCCCACTGAAGAGGCTTCAATAGATTGGATAGAGCATACTTCTGCAAATGGCCGGAGGTACATAGTACTCTACTGTTGGGCTTCTAATAGATGATGATTTTAAGGCTGGGATTTTGGTTTCGGTAGTGAAAAAATTATCTTTTTTATATATTTGAATGGACTGCTTTGCGAGGATGTGGTAGGATTAATGTATCCTGCCATCTTAGTTGACATGGCTGCTGAAATACTCATCTCCCCTTGTTTGTAATGGAGTTTAGAGAATGTTGAATGTCCATCCAGCACAGGCTGCTTCTTGTGTCTTGGATCAATTAATACTACTTAAAAATTCCTTGATGTTTCTGTTAAGATATTGCAATGCACATCAGAGAATTTACCTATGCATTTTCAATTTTTCATACTTCGTATCCATCATTTGCATGCAGATATTATTACAATAAGAAGACACGGCAATCTAGTTGGGAGAAGCCATTGGAGCTGATGTCACCAATTGAGGTTAGTTATGCTAATGATGCTTGTTTTCTACTATTATTTTTTGTCTCTGGTCTCTTATTTATACTATTAAACCGTGTTAGATGCATTGTCCCTCGTATTTTATCGGTTCCAGCCATAGTGAGCAAGTTCTTTGCATGATAAGAAAATTAATCATGGTTCAATGTAGGGAACACATTTCTAGAGGAGTCTCTAGTGGTGTTTAATGCTCCTATATTTTAAAGCATTATTCCTATTCCTTTTGACATATGTGTTTTAGTTGTTACCTTCTGCAATATAGTGTATTCAAATTTGATGCAGAATCTCAAAATAATTGAAAAGTGGCCAGGGAGTTGGGAAGGGGTAGGAAACATAGTGGTCTTCTTTTTGGCAATTTGTGTCTTTCATTTTTGTCACTGTAGATTCATATTGTTTATAATTTTTGATGTGTGTCTTTGGTTATTGTTGAAATTTCTTTCCTTCATTGTTGTTACTTAATACTGTCAATGGGCATTCCATTATGCATAGAACCTGTGAAGGGTGGTGATACAATATTCATTTTCTTATTTGAACTTTGTAAATTTCTAACATCGTCTTAACAGTTGAAGTTAAACTTTATGACTGTCAAATCACTTTGCTTTTGATGGAGTTTTAGCCTGGAACGGAAACCTCTGCGATTTTATTTTCCTTTTTGAACTTTTTACTTTTCCCTCCAATTGATTTTGGTGGCTTTTCCTCGCCAAAGTTGAGTGTCTACTTACCTCTTATCTGCATGACAGCGGGCGGATGCATCGACTAACTGGAAAGAATATACAACTCCTGATGGAAGAAAGTGTGTAATTAGAATGATTCCTTTTAAGCTTCAGTAAATTTTGTTTAGCATTTTTTTATCAGATCCTTTTTGTGAACATCTGCAGGTATTACTTCAACAAGGCTACAAATCTATCAACATGGTCAATCCCTGAAGAGCTGAAGGTTTCCTTCCATAACAACCTTTACTTCTGTGATTTCCTATCATATGCATGGCTGATTACCTTACCTTCTCTTATCTTATTGGTGTTATAATATTCAAGTTGGCTCGTGAACAAGTAGAAATGGCATCTGCCAAAGGAACACAATCAGAAGTTTCTTCTCATATGCCAGCTCCTGTGCCTCCTTCAAGTAAAGCACAATCTGATGCTGATACATCATCTACAATAATTCAAGGAGCTTCCTCAAGTCCAGTTTCAGTGGTACCAGTTCCTGCTAGTAGTAAAACTGAATCTGTTGTGGTTTCTGGGTCAGATTTACTGGTTGCAACTTCAACTGTGACCAATGTACACGCAGTTCAGACGGTTGAGGATGCTATCACACCATCTGTTGCTGTTTCAGAAAGTTCTGAAGTTTCTTTCACAGAGACCAATGCTGTTACAACTCCAATGTATTATTGTCTTAACTGGTTTTGAGTGATCTTTTTTTAACTTTGCCTTTTTCACATTTGAATGATTTTCTGCTCTTTAAATTTTAGGAATATTATGAGCAAAGCTTCTTCTTTGGATATGATTAGGTCTGCCGAAGGAGTTTCTACTCCAAATGCAGATGTATGTGATGGATTATTCATCTTCCCTTCAAGCAACAAATTCTTCATGTGCTTAATTGGCAAGATAGGTGATCTCTGTTTTTTTTCTTTTAGGAAACTGTAAAGGATGTGGTAGTGAGTGAGAAAATTAACAATTCTTTGGAAGAGAAAGCAATTGATCAAGAGTCTTTGACTTATGCCAGCAAGCAAGTATGTAGCAGATTTTCCATACCCTTCAGCTAATGTTCCTTTTGAAGTTCTCGACCCTTATTTCTTTCAAAATAATTTTCACTTTTAGGAGGCCAAAGATGCATTCAAAGCTCTTCTGGAGTCCGCAAACGTTGGTTCTGAGTGGACATGGGATCAGGTAAATCAGTTGATAGTTTGGAATTATGTCAATTCGTTTATTTTATTTCTTGCATTTCAGCAAGTATCTGATATTTTAATTGATTATGATAGGCCATGAGAGTAATAATAAACGATAAAAGATATGGTGCTTTGAGAACACTTGGAGAGAGAAAACAAGCTTTCAATGAGGTAAATCCTTGCATTGTTTTCACTTTAATCGACTCTCTTATTCAGTGTGCATGTAGCTTGGTAATTGGTTGTTTTCAAAAGTGACAATTTTATGTTGTTTATTAAATTTTCATTTGGTGTTATATGTAATTATCATATTTTCCGCTTCAGATTTTGGGTCAAAAGAAAAAACATGAGGCTGAGGAAAGGCGGGTTAAACAGAAAAAAGCACGGGAAGAATATAAAAAAATGTTAGAAGTGAGTTATTTTCCGCTCTATAGATTGTATAATCTCTCTGCTAGATTCAATGTTTTTCTTACTCGTGATATGTGTGGATCTTGTACAGGAGTCTTCAGAGTTGATTTCATCCACAAGATGGAGGTTTGCTTTCTCTTTTTGCCTGCATAACATTGATAATTTTCTAGTTTGGATCGTATGCCAAAGTTTGGTATATCATGCTTATAACATGGAAAGTGCTCTTTGCTAATTGAGTGGTTGCACTTTTATTCAGCAAAGCAATTCCTATGTTTGAAGATGATGAGAGGTATAAAGCTGTTGAACGAGAGAAGGATAGGAAGGATCTTTTTGAGAATTACATTGATGAACTCAGGCAAAAGGTACAATTTGGCCCATTAACTCCCATCCATTTTGACTGGTGTCTCTCTATAATATTAAATTCCTCACACAACCTCTCTGTCTGTCAAAACTGGTAGTTTTGTTATATTCTAGTATGCTCGATTACTTGTATTCGCATGGATGCATGTGCATGCATCAGATGTTTGTTTTTCTCCTTCCAACTATAAGCCAAACACCGTTTTGATATTGTCCGTGCTCAAACCCTGTATTCCTGCTCATTGTTTTTCCCTGTAGTCCTGTAAATTTATGCTGAGATTTGTTGGGGGGAGGGTTTTAAGGAGAAAACCTAGAAGTGTAAATGCTTGAACTTCTAAACACCTTAGTTATCATGTAATCATTTATTTTGGATGAGGTTTGTTTATATTTATATCTTTCTCCTCCATTACAATATGCTATTTGGGTTTATTGCCCGTTGATTTAATATAGAAAATGTTATGCCATCCTTTGCAAGTGCGTTATCATCTATAAATTTTGCTTGTCTATGAAATATAATGCTGAAACTGGCCATTATATGTAGTCACATATTGTGCGGTTTTATGATAAATGACCTCTTTGTTCATAGCGGGAAATGGGCCTTTTAGGCTTTTACCAATATTGGGACTACGACTTCATTTTTTTGAAATTGTTTATTGGATAGGAACGGGTGAAGGCTCAGGAGCAGCGCAAGCAGAGTATTATGGAGTATAGACAATTTTTGGAATCTTGCGACTTTATTAAGGTACCTTTAAGCAAGTTTCAAGTTTGCATTTATGGTTTACATTGGACTCTTGTAAGGTAGTACTATTGCTCTGTAGGCAAATAGCCAGTGGCGAAAAGTTCAAGACCGCTTAGAGACTGACGTAAGATGTTCACGTCTTGACAAAATTGACCGCTTGGAAATATTTCAGGTAGTATCCTTCATTTGACTGTAAATAGTTTTCATTTTTAATTTTTACTTATTTGCAATTTCTTTGTGCTTTTCAATTCTAAGGGAAGTTTTTTATAGGAATATATAAGGGACTTGGAGAAAGAAGAAGAGGAGCAGAGGAGGATACAAAAGGTGACCTCAGTTATTTTCTTTAGTCATCACGCTGTATCTGCATTTTGGATTATGATCTGATCTGAATTTTTTTTATCAAAATAGGAAGAACTGAGAAAGACAGAGCGTAAAAATCGTGATGAGTTTCGCAAGTTGATGGAAGAACATGTTGCTGCAGCAACTCTTACTGCCAAAACTCATTGGCGTGATTATTGCATGATGGTGAGCAAGCTAGTTTGATGGAATTTTGGGAGAAAAGTGCACATGGTACCTATTATTATCTTGCTTTCTGATGTGTCTTTAATGTCTTTTTGTTTTCAGGTTAAAGATTCACCTCCCTTTCTGGCAGTTGCATCCAACACTTCAGGTCCAACACCAAAAGATTTGTTTGAAGATGTAGCTGAGGAGCTTCAGAAACAGGTGAATCTTTACCTTTTTCTACTCTGGTTATTTTCTGTATTTTACCCTATAGCATCTAGTAAATCATCGGCTTTTTTAGCCTTTTCTGGATTGAAGAGCAGTCCAATTATTTATGTCTTGTGACTGTGGTTACTTTCTTTGAGCAAACACGTAATGCTTGTTATAACTTGCCTGCTCATGTTTAATTTACAGTATGATGACGATAAAGTTCGAGTAAAGGATGCAGTAAAGTCGACAAAGGTGTGGGAGTGACATCAACTGTATACATTCTTTAACATGCCCATATGATTTTTTTTGTCTAATATTCTGGCATGTTTTCAGATTTCTTTGGCTTCAACTTGGACTCTAGAAGACTTGAGGGCTGCCATTTTTGAGGATATTAGCTCTCCACCTATATCAGATGTTAACTTGAAGGTGCTTGCGTGTTTTTAATACTTATTGTTTTGTTTGAACACCGGAGTGGTTTTCCAGGGCATGCTGCTGGAATTTTGAGCCATTCTAAAACTTTTTTCTTTTTCTTTTTAATGAACATATGTGTTTGCTCATACTTGCATACCATATGGTATGGATATGCATTGAAGTGTGTACGTTTCTGTTTCTTCGAATTAGACACACAAGGTAAAGGGTGAAGAGAGGACATGGGTGTCACGGATTCATTGTTCGAACTATGGCATTATTTTGTGATTTTGATTAATATTATGTTGAGGGACAACCAGCCGACTATTTAATTAAATGGGCCATCTTCAATTGCAGCTGATTTTTGAGGACTTACTTGAAAGGGTAAAGGAGAAGGAGGAGAAAGAAGCAAAGAAGCGCAAACGTCTTGCAGATGGCTTCTTTGATTTATTGCAATCTGTGAAGGTGTTAGGCTACATCTTTTAAAATTTTGGTCGAATGGTTCGATAGCCAGGAAATTTATTTTTATTCAACTCTATGATTGTTTAACCTATTGCAGGAAATCACTTCATCTTCAGCATGGGAGGAGTGCAAACATCTTCTTGAAAACAGTCCGGAATTCAGGTCCTAGAAGCTTATTACATGACGTTTTGCATATAACTTTCAAAAAAAATTTGATCATTCTATATATTTCCATCAAAAATTGCTTACTCGAACCTTTTTTTTTTAATGTTTATATGTAGTTCCATTAGGGATGAAGCCTCCTGCAAGGAGATATTTGAGGAATATGTAAAACAGTTGAAAGGAGATGCAAAAGAGAAGGAACGAAGACGGAAGGAAGACAAGGTATTAGATCGATTTGAATCAAGTTGAACCATTGATGTTCTTTTGAATTTCGGTTTAATCTTAAATGTGTGGCTTATCGTTAGTCTATTCTTTGCGTGTGCTTGAGGTTAGTGATACTCTCCTTGCCCACGACCCTCTTCGTCGATGTTTGTTTTCCGTAAATGATCGCGAAACTGCATGAATCAAATATCACCTCACCCGTGTCTGAGTATATGTTTGACATGGGGTTTTTCTATGCTGCAGGCAAAGAAAGAAAAGAGAGAGAAGAGAGGGAGTGGAGGAAGTCGAAGCATGGAAGGGACAAAGAGAGAGGATACGAAAGAGAAAAGGAGGAACACTCGAGGGAGGGACCTTCAGATGCGCATGTCGGTACAGGTGAATTTCACGATGAAAACGAACATAAACGGTCAGGAAAAGACGACAGTAAGAGACATCATAAACGACATCGAAGTTCAGTGGATAACTCGAATGAAAGTGAAAAAGATCGGACTAAGTCTCACAGGCATAGCAGTGATCACAGGAGATCAAAAAGGGTATGATATTCACTCCCATTCACATGTTCGAAACAGCTGCAACCATGTTTGAAAGACTTCTTTAATGACCGTTACTTCTTCAGCATGCATCGACGCCCGAATCCGATAGCGAAACCAGGCATAAGAAACATAGGCGAGACCATCGGAACGGTTCCCGTAGAGAGGCCGATCCCAAGGAGCTTGAAGATGGAGAGTTTGGTGAGAGGGAAAGTCAGTAGTAGTAGTAGCAGGTATGTTTTTAGCTCCTCTTTGTTTATCATGCTTAATGTATTTCAACGATGAAAGGTGGTCTGTTTTTAGCAGTTTTAAAATTTGATGGTAGTGGCAAATGTTGGGAATTTCATGTTCTTGTTTTTATTTTAATCTTTTTTTTAATTTGATTTTAATGTTCTTCCATATTATTTTTAAGAATACAATTATCCATTTTCCATGTTTTATTAATTAATATTTAAGAAAATTAATTATTTAAAAATCTGCATTAAACTTTTATATGGAAAACGTCAATTTTTGTTAAGAGCATTATATGTTTTTTGTCATTTAAAAGGATTAAATATATATTTAACTTTTAAAATTGTGTAATTTTATTATTTAATTTTATAATTTTCTTACTTTTCACAACTCCGGGAATAAATTAACAAAAACATTTTTGAATAACAAAGAAAGAAAAGTAAACAACTATGGGGCTAAATGTGTAAAACCGTAATTAAAATTATATTCCATAAATTTATTATTTGCAATTTTTTTATTTTCATGTTTAATAATAGGGTAAAGTACACAAATGGTCCCTACTATAGGAAATTACTTTGTTGAGGCCCCAACTATTAAAAGTTATAAATTGATCTTTCGACTTTAGGACGTTGCTTTATTGCTTCCCTCGATCATTAGAAGTTACAAAATAGTCACCCGACTATTCATTATGATCCAAACTTGTACTTTTTTGCTAAAAATTGACGGTAGTATGAGTTGAATGTTAATATCCCGTCTAAGATATGATAATCGTTTGAGATTCTGAGATAAGATTTTATCATATCTCATATAACAGATTAAAATCCAACTTAGACTACCGTTAATATTTAATAGTTTTATTAAAAAAAAGTTAATATTTAATAGAAAATGACAAATTTTGAAAATAATGAATAATTGGGTGATCATTTTATAACTTTCAACAGTCAAGGAGACATATTCTATAGTCGGTAAATCATTTTGTAACTTTTGAATACTCAACAAAGCGTATCTTATAAAAAAAATCTGTTATCGTTGTTATTGGTTATTATTATAAGCAATTGACGCCTCTGCATCACCTATAATTTGTTAAAGATCGGAATTTTCCTTTTCATTCTCTGCTACATAACACTTCCCTAATTCCCTTCCATTTTTGCATAAACGTTTATTTCACTTTTCTTGTGAAATTTTCCTAGGAAAAAGGGAATTTTTTTTCTCTCGAAAAAGGGTAAGAAAAGAAAAGAAAGGAAAGGAGAAGAAAGAGGTCTTTTCCACGGAAACGATTAGCAAATAATATTGGAGCGAAACAATGAGTTATTATGATCAGAAACAACCTCCCGTCGGCGTTCCTCCGCCACAATGTCAGCTCTTGATCCTTCTTTTTCTTTTGTTTTTCAATAACATTTTGATTATTATTGGATGTGTTTACTCATTGTTTAGTTGTTCTTTTGATTGAATTATAGATTATCCGCGCCACCGGGATATCCATCGCGGGAAGCTTATCCTCCACCGCCACAAGGATACCTCCTCAGGGATATCCTGCTCAGGGATACCCTCCTCCCTATGCCCCTCAAAAGGAAAAGCATGATGGTTGCTTACATGGCTGGTAAGCTCCTCATCCTATACATACACACTGTTATATCATGCATGGTACGGGCCAAAGCCCCGTTTAGTGGCTGATTCTGAAATATTTTTTAAAGTGCGCACACGTATATATTAATCACATAAAAAATTTAGAGTGTAGGCACAACTATTAAAATATGTAATTATCAGAATAAAATTCGAATTTCAGAGTAGGTATGTGTGACGTGCTATTCCTAAATCCTTAATAGATCTGTCACTGCCCGTTTGATCCTTTGCTGCTCCGTTTGTTGCAGCAAATACAATACAATTGAAAACATGCTAGTAATCGCAATCGCAATTTAAATCCCTTCGAATATAATTACCGGTTTTCATTTGTACCTGCAGTTTGGCTGCTATTTGCTGTTGTTGCCTGCTGGATGCTTGTTTTTAATCTCCCTAAAAATTCTGGGTTCGAATAATTGTATTTAAAGAAAATAAAACAATCAGCGAGATTAATGTTGTTCCACATTATCAGAGTATTATAATGTGCATCATCACTATTTATAAAATTTAAGACCTTTATATTTGGGTGAGCAAAATAGGAGAAAGAGTAGAGTCCACTGAAGAACGGTGTAATTTACCCTTTATATTTGTAATTATTTTATATTAAATAATAATAAAAAATGACACTTCATCACAACGTTAGAGAGTTAACGACAGAGTGAACAAAATGATTCAATCTGTAAATTTCAGTGAGCAAATTAAAAAATTAAAAGTACGATTAGTAAAATAGGAAAGTGAGTAAAGTTCGAACGGTGTAATTTATCTTTATTTTTTTAAAAGCATTTGCTTGGAGCTCCAAGGCGGACCTAAGGTTATTGAGTAGCAAGAATTTAATCATGAACAGGCCCTCTTTACTTTATTTTCATTATTTTGATATACTAATTTTTAATCTTTAAATTTCATATAATTTTTTTAATTTAATCTTTAGACTTTAAGTTCAAATTTTCCTTTAATTTTAATTCTTTTGACAACATTTTAGGTGAGCTTTATCTTGAAAGGGTTAAAACAAAAAGGCTAAAGTACACAAATGATCCCCGACTATAAAGAGTTGCTTTGGTGACTCATCGACTATTAAAAGTTTCAAAGTAATCCTCCAACTATCTAGAGTTTCTTTGTTGAGTCCCTTGACAATTAAAAGTTACAAAATGGTTATTTGACAATTCATTATGTTCCAAACTTGTCCTTTTTCGTTAAAAATTTGACGGCAGTCTAAGCTAGAAGTTAACTTATTGGCTAAGATATGATAAAATTTGATCTCGTAATCTTATGATTATCATATTTCAATCAACATGTTAACGTTCAACTTAGACAATCGTTAATTTTTAACGGAAATGACGAGTTTGGAACATAATCAATAGTCCGGTGACTATTTCATAATTTTAATAGTTAAGGGACTCAACAAAATAATAACCTATAGTCGGGGATCATTTATCTAATTTACCCCAAACAACTACTAAATTTAAAAAGTATTATGGATCAACATAAAATTTAAGGATTAAATTTTGGTCTCTAGTATTTAGTGCTAAAGAAGAAAATAATTATAATTATATACCAAACAAGAATAGGGCATTGATCTAGTGGTATGATTCTTGCTTCGGGTGTGAGAGGTCTTGAGTTCAATTCTCGGAATGCCCCAAAAGCATTTCTAGTTTTGGTCAATTAAGGACTAGTTTAAATAGAGAAGAGTAATTTAAGGGCTTTTTTAGTAGTATATTACCCTTATTCTAATACAGTAATAATGTTGCAGGCACAACAGAAGTGTCAATTGCCTGCCATTAAATAGAAACTACACCACATCCAGTTTCATTCCCTGCTTGACTTACAACGAAATGGTGCCTCACTTGGCTCTCAGTGTTGGATCCTACAAATAGGGTATGCTGTCCTATAATCAGCTTCCTCTTCCCTTCAGCATCCACTAAGGTTAAATCTTTGCACACGTTTAAGCTCATTGTCACCTTCTTGGTCTCCCCTTGCTTCACTTCGACCCTCTCGAATCCGATCAGCTGCTTGTTCGGTGCACCAGTCACCTCAGTTAAGCTTGGTGGCTTCCAGAAGAGGAGCACTACATGAGCTCCGTCCATCGATCCCTTGTTCCACAATCCGATAACGACATTGAATTGCAGGACGTCGCAGAGTAGAGTCTCGGCATCGATAGCTTCGCCGATGTATGGTTTTAGGATGTTGTTTGGTGTTGAGATTGGTATTGTGGTAGGGGCAAATATTACAAACTTTGAGAATGATGTGTAGCTTAGTCCGTGTCCGAACTCGTAAACCGGTTTCCCTGTGTAGAATCTATAGGTTCTTCCTGGGAAGTTTGAGGTTGCGTTGGCTCGCATGTTCATGTCGCTCATCGGGACCTTATCGGCGTACTCTTGTGGATACCATGTAAATGGTGATCTTCCAGCTGAGGCACCAGGAAAATTTATCAGCATGTTATGTTTTGGGACAAATATTTTGCTTATATTGTCATCAAAGAAGACGAAAAAGAAAGGCTACCTGGGCTGTAGTCTCCGAATATGACTTGAGCTAAGGCGTCTCCGCCGGCTTGACCCGGATATCCGACCCACAGAATGCCTCCAATGTTCCCCATTTTCTTTGCAAACGATATATCAATCGGACCAGCTGCCATAACCACAAGCACCACTTTCCCTTTTGCCGCATTAGCAACATCAGTCACCAACTTTTCTTGATATCCCGGCAATGTCAAGTTTACTCGATCGAGCCCTTCAGCCTCGATCGATTGATCTAGCCCCACAACTAGCACCACAGCATCGGCATTTACTGCAGCCTTAACCGCAGGCTGAATAAGTGTATCCTTACTGCATTTAACATCACTACACCCTGCCTGATACGTAGCCGTTGACACATACTTTTGCAGCCCCTGTAAAGGGCTAGTGTACCGGCAAGGTATACCGGCATAGTTACTTATCATAACCGTTGTGGCATTAGCGTTTGGTCCAATGACGGCTAAACTTTTTGTGACCGCTTTAGACAGAGGAAGATCTCCGTTGTTGTCGAGTAAAACTATTCCCTGCTTGGCAGCATCAAGGGCTAACCGCTGATGATCATCGGTGCATACATCGGACGGACCGAGGTCACCGAACGGAAGCTGTTTCGGGTTTCCATCAAAGAAACCGAGCCTCATAAGAACTATATAATTATAAATTAAAGCCTGGTCAACAACAGATTCATCTACTTTCTTCAATTTGACTGCATTCACTGTGTATTTCCCCAAATAATCCCCACAATTCATGTTTAAACCTGCTTTCAAAGCAAGGGCCACTGCATCTTCAGGTGTAGCAGTGTAATGGATGGCATTATAATAAACCTCAACTGAGTCACAGTCTGAAACAATGTATCTGCCAAAAACGAAGCAAAAATGTCGATTACCGAAAACCGGAAACGATCGGTATTTTTCGAGTATGAACAAATAAAAATATACCCATCAAGACCCCATTGACCTCTAACTATTCCTTAAGAAGGTCTGGATCAGCACAAGTAGGGATTCCATTCACCCTATTGTATGAGCACATCACACTGCTCACATGTCCTTCCTGCACACAACTCTTAAATGGTGGCTGATACGTATCTTCCAAGTCCTGCTTCGTAACCTGAAAAAAAAAACGTAAATGATGTTACTCGGACTCTTCATTTCATGTAAAATAACCGTATTCGACACATATTCGGACACGTTTATGTCGGGTCTAATAATGTGACAACACATATTTCATGTTTGAATGTTTGTTAGTTAACTGAACCTACAAGTTATGCATACCTTTGCATCAAAATGGAACCGATCCACGCCTTTCCAATTGTCCAAATCATAAGCAGTGTAATGCTTGCAACAACTGGAAACCTTAAGCTTGTCCTCCTCCCCGGAGGAGTCGACGTCTTGCAGTCCCCGGACATAATTCACGGCATACTTCGAGACCACCATAGGGTCCTCACCCGGCGTTTCTTGCCCTCGGCCCCATCTCGGGTCCCGGAACACGTTGACATTAGGGCTCCAATACGTCAACCCTGCTAGACCGACATTGTACATGGCTCGAGCCTCGGTCGACACCACCCGCCCCATCTCGAGCCACAACGTGACGTTGAAGCTCGCGGCGGATAAGATCACGGCAGGGAAACTAGTCGCACCTGGAACCGTGGCATTGAACCGAGTTCCCGGACCAACGTTCGAGACGCCGTGAAGCGCCTCGGACCACCACTCATAAGCCGGCACGCCGAGCCGGGACACCCCGGCGGCCTTGTTCACCAACTGTCGCACCTTCTCTTGGAGTGTCAATCGTGAAACGAGGTCCCTGGCTCGATCCTCGTAGGACAAGGAAGTGTTACAAAATCGGAACTGACTCGTTTTAGGATCCTTTCGGTCACACGCAAATGGCTGAGCTCGAGTGTTACATGGGACGATTACTAAGAAAAAAGAGACACACAAAGCAAAAGAAAACTGGGTTTTTAATTTCATGGTGTCCTTTTTTGCTGGTTTTATGTCACCTTACATTGTGCAAGCATATAGTTATTTATAGTAAAAGTTGAAGTTTTAAAGGCTTGGTCGGGTGTTTTTACTTGGGTCAAATTCATTCATCAGTCCCTATATTGTGCACAAACTATAGATTTAGTTCCTATATTCTAATTTCATCAATTTTAGCTCCTTTACTTTTCAAATTTTGAATTTTTCGTCCTAACCCGATCGTTACGTAGTTTGATTTAACGGTTATCAATTATATCATAACTAAAATTTTAAAATTTGAAAAGAACGACTACTAAATTTGCTACCTAATTAGAACTAATAGCAAAACTTATAGGTGTCTTTCTTAGCATTTGAAAATTACCACTAACGAAACAAGTGATTGATTGAAGTTTTGTGTTGGTATACTTACAACATCAGGTTTCAAATCACTTAACAAATAAAAAAAATCAGTATGATTAAATTATAAGAACCAAAAGTTTGAAATTTATAAACTTTAGAAACTGAAACCGACCAGATCAAAATATAAGAATTGAATTTATAATTTATACATATTATAAGGACTAATAATAAAATTTGACATTTTCTTTGACTGGTTGCTTTTCTTGTAACATGGGTTGCTTGCAATGTGAGGAATAACAAGCTTTCCCCCCGTTTAGGAAGTGATGACAAGTGAAGCCAATGATACTTTGATGCTTAGACAAAACAAAAGCATCTTTAACCCTCCATCGCATCCCACACATGGACCACTAAATAATGTTCATCGTATAGTCCTAAATTAGGTGGGGCCAATGCAATACTTAGTACTTGGAGTACCACTAATTAAATAATTTAATTAATCGAAGTTTCGGAACCCATCCGGTAATTTCATTGGTAAAAGAAACGTTCTTCCAATAGGTATCAGATTCAAACAGTTGTGTCAACAGGGTGTGTGCATTATTAATGACTAAAAAACGATTCTGAACATATGTTACCTTAAAATCACCTTAAAAAAATTAAAGACTCATTATCCGAGATTAACACAGTAGAGTTTAATCATATTGTCAAGAAGGTACGACAAAGATAGAAGTGTGCACTCAATGAAGGGTGCCTTTGAAGAGAAAATACGATGAAGTGGGCGGAAAGTAGCATTATCCCTTTGAAGAAAATCTGCATGAGACGTTTACACAACATCTTATATAACATGAATCATTAAGTCATCAAAATTTATATGACTACGTACTCGTACGATAACGATACGAAAATACGTAGGCATTACAAGTAGAATGTATTGCCAAATCATTCGTATGGCATGAAGTGAACAAAGGGTAGGCAGCACAATGGTTTTCACATTATGTGTTGTATGGTTGTGCTATGCAATTATCACCTGAAACAAAGCAAAAATAACTTAAGAAGATAGTTATAAAAGAGCATGATGAATAGCTATGTTACTCGCGAAAAAAAAATCAAAGTGATATCAATATAAAATAAGACATGCATAGGAGATAAGTTTTAATGCGGTTCGGCCTTGCCTACCTCCACATACGAGATGATCAATAATTCAAGAAAACAAAGAGTACAAATACATGATATCGGATGTATCCCAAGAGTACAAATACGTGATATCAGATGTATCTCAAAACAGATATAGATATCAAAACTCGGAATATCCCAAAATACTCTTTCAACGTCCCTATAAATAAATAAACCCAAAATGTAACAAAGATGAAAGCCATTGAATCCCAAAGATCGTGAGCAATGTAAAAAGTCATTGATTGTTTGCATATATTGATAAGTATAGATTATGAGAAAGAATAGATTTTTATATCCCAAAAAACTAGGAGAGGTTTAGAGATGTTCAAGGTTGTGAAGATTTTAGAACTTGGTTTTAGTATCGATAATGTTATAACAATATCGGTATCATCATGTTTTTTTAAAAAAATCAGGTAAAATATCAAGGTAATATTGATATTGTTCTTTCCAATATCGATACCATGAGGGAATATCGATGCCTAGACTAATTGTATCAATACTCAATCCCAACTTGGGAAATTGAAATTCCATAATGTTAATTTGGTATTGGTATTTGTCCAAGTATCGATATTTAATTGGGCAAAAAGAGTTATTAAGGAAGAAATCATATTTACTCATACTTATTTTGGGTTACTAGCTCCGAAGGATTAGAATGACTCGCACGAGAACATCTAATTATATTTATTATAGGTGAGTCGCATGGGAACTCCAAAGGATTAGAGTGACTCACACAGAAACACCTAATCGCATTTATACCCAGTGACTCGCACAGGAGTCCCAACGAAATTTCTGGTACCTTTCAAGGGGTACTCAATTTTTCTTATTCAAATGTGTACAAGAGTATCCATGTATATTTTGTAAACAATATATATATTCCAACATAGTTTACGTTAAACTCGTCAAGCGATTTTAATAGTAAAAGAGAGTGTTATTTTTATTATAAATTTTGAGTTTGAACAGTTACGTCTATGGAGTATGCATTATCTACAGATCCGATTATCTCTTTGATCAACAAATAATTTTAGAAGAAAAAAAATATTGACATTCGAACATCGATAACACCCAAACAATTAGATAGATTATAACCTGTAATAAACAAACTAATGTTGAGTTGACTCATAACATAAAACTTAATCATAGATTTAATTATACAGGGCTTTAATAAAATATCTAGAATTTGATTTCAAAGGTGAGTAGATGAGATTTTGACCAGGTGAGTCGCGGTCGACACGGACTCAACTCAAGTCAAATGGGTTCGTTTTACCCTTTCCAAATTGTGAGCGGTTTCAATAGCACAGTACCACGCGTGGACCGCTGTTTTGACTTTGAAGCAGTCACTCTTAAAATGAAGTAATTAAAGAACCGTTAAAAATGTGTTATTTATTTATGATAATGATAAATTATAAATTTCATCACTCAACGTTTTCTCACTTCTATTATGATCACTGAAATTTAATGTTTTTAATTTATTCATTGAATTTTATATTTGCTCCTATATTAGTCACTTCTCATTTAGGCATTTAAAGGTGTTATGATTAAATATTTTCAAAAAAAAAATGAGACGACCTCAAAATTTTCTTTATTTTTTTAAAAATTCGTGGTTTCAAATTTTATTTGATTTTTCGATGACGAAAATCTTCTTATAAATCTCAATAACGGGAAGGTGGAGAAAGAAAAAGCTAGCGACGTATCTTGACTCCATATTGATCTTGTAGTGTATATTATATGTCAAAGTGGTTTGGGGTTTTATGCATTTAGGGTTTATGGTTAAGTTTTTTGAGTTTTGAAGTGATTAGGTAAAATATATAATGTAGAGTGTTAGGAGACAATGAGAGGAGAATGTCGATATCTAGAATGATCAGAGAAAGCATCAAAGAATGAGAGTTACAATATTGATGTGACATAAATATTAAACTATAAAACTTTCATATTTAAAGGAAAAAAGATAAAAGAAAAAAGAAAAAGAAAAATGATATAGATGACACATGGATTCCAAGTCAAATAAAAGCAACCACATAAGCATAGGTGGCTTCCATGTCACCCTTGTTTTTATGATAACACCTGAGTGATCAAAATAAGAGTAAATTGAAAGTTTAATGAGTTGATTAAAAAGAATTAAATTTTAGTAACTAAAATAGGAGTAAGAATAAAATTGAAGGAATGCAATTTGTAATTTACCCTTGTTATTATTGACATTAAACTCCGAGTCTTACATTAACTCGGTCAATTTTACCTTTGACTGACTCAACCCCAGTCCTCTTTATATACAAAGCAATAAACCCCATTTACATGCAAACTATTTCTCACTCCCTCCCTCCAAAACGGCGTCGCTTTCTTAGTTTCTTTTCTTTGCTAATTTCCTTCTATCAATCCTTTTTTCTAATAAATAAGAAATTGACTGAATTTTAAATTTTAAATTTTAAATAGTATGAAGAACTATGGCACTTGAAGCTTTGATTCCTGCTGCAATGGCTACACCTTCAAGCAACAAATACGACGACGTCTCGTGTGACAAAGCCACGCCTTCTAAAAAACGACCGATCATCGATTCTCCGCCGACGTCCGAGGAAGAAGAAGAAGAAGAACGCCTTGCTCTCTGTCTCATCGCCTTGGCTGGCGGCTCCCACGACGGTGTTGGTGGCCTTGTTCTGTCGTCATCGGCGGCGGAATCTGCTTCCCCTGCTTCCAAGTTGCCTCACAAGTGCAGTGTCTGCAACAAGGGTTTCCCTTCTTACCAAGCTCGGGTGGACACTAAGTGTGGTGTCTACCGTAAACCCTCACAAGTTGCCTCACAAGCCAGCCACCGTAAACACTCCTCCGCCAACGGTGACAATCCATCTACCGCCGCCGTAAGAGGTAGCGGGAAGGTCCATGAGTGTGGTGTCTGCCACAAGACTTTCCCTACGGGCCAAGCCTTGGGCGGACACAAACGCTGCCACTACGAAGGCGGTGGCAACATCAATAACAAGAGCGGCAGCGTTATTGGCGTGATGCTGTCGGACGGCGGCGGTGCCTTGAACAAACGCCACCGTGTCAGCTTTGACTTTGACCTTAACTTGCCTCCTGCTTCCCCGGACTCCCATGAGGAAAATAACGATGGAAGGTTTAGTCAATCATGCAGCGATTAATATTATAAGACTTTGGTAGAAATAATTTAATTTAAAAATATTTTTAATTTTAATTTTTTTCACTGATTTGAGATTTGTATTTGATATTTATTGACTGATTTATTTAATAAAAATTCTAATTTACATGTTATATTCTAATTTATATAAATATAATTAATTGACCCTTATTCCCATATGTAATGGGATAAGAGGAGGTAAGATAGTAAGCTGCCCCAACGCCAAGTTAAGAGCAGCTTCTGTTGTAGACCTCCAAATTATGAAATACCCTCCGTGGGACTTAATCTCACGACCTCAAGGTTAAGAACCTTGTGTTCTACCAACTGAGCTGGAGCTAATCACAATTTATATAAATATAGTATCTATTAAATTGTATTAACTTTTTATTTGAAGTTTGAATTAGTATGTTATTTCTTTATAACCTCATTCCATGTGTTTAAATGCTTTCAATGCACATCCTAGCATTGCCATCATCAAATGTAACATTCATCATTCATAATCATTATATTTCTTCATCACTTTTTGCATGGCTTAATAGATACTTGTGACATCTATAACATCTAATGTGTTGATAAATAAATGTTGTATTTATGTTATATATATATATATATTAATATTTTATAACTATTATTTTCAGTATGAATATTGTTGTAGACTCTTAAAAGGTGTATGTTCGAGAGATCTATTAATTGGTCGAGTGATTAAAAATATTTATATTATCTCATTTTATATAGATTCAAAATAATCATGATATTTACCTTGATAATGTAATATATTAAATAGTTGAAAATCTTTGAATATATCTTATTTTATAGTTTCTTTATATTTATAAAAAAAATTAAGAAGTTAATATTTTTCAACTAGCTAAATCAATTTTGAGAATATTTTATAATTTATTTTATTTTTTAATATTTTTTTGAAATTTTTATTTAATTATTATTAAACTAATCGAACCGAAAACTCGTGATGATCAATTTGGCCAACCATTTGATTTTTGCTACATTGATGAGCAAACTTATTCTACTTTTTGAACTTTTCAAATATTCTAATTGAGCACATTTTTTCCTCGTCGAATTTGGTCATTGCCTTAGAATCCAAATAGCAATCAATTTTTCTTCTTATTATTTTTCTTGCATTTTCTTTCTCGCCAAACACGGTCCTCAAAGGCTTACCACCATCAGAGAAACTTTCCTGCCATTGCCAAGTAGACCTAGTAAACTTGACTCGAACCCGATTACCCGAACCCGATTACCCGAATCGATTTATCCGATATTAACTCAAACATAATAATCAAATTTGATCTGATACTCGATTCATACCCGACCCGAACAATACTCGGTCTAAAATTTTGCAATATCAAAATCAACCATAATCGAAATTAACCTGAACTGAAATTAACCCGAACAGAAAGCAATCCGAATCGAATTTTAACATGATCCAAAAGCAATCCGAGCCGAATTTAACTCGACCCAAAAGCAAACCGAACATATTGAAATTGATAAAAGTTATTAAACGATAAAAGTTATTTTCAATAATAAATTAATTTAAATAAAATTGATAATTTATTAAAAATATTAGATTTATAATAAAATAATAGAAAGTTTAAGAGGGATATAAAAGTAAGAATCTAATTGTAAGATTGAAAACAATAATAAATAAAGTTTACTTATCCTACTTGTTATAAATATATTAGATCTATAATAAAAATAATAGAAAACAACTAAAACAAAGGAAATAATATTAGATTCATAATAAAAATAATATAAAATTTACTTATGTTACGACTAAAACTTAACAAATAAAGTTATGTATTATTTTTTAAAATTTAATAAAAATATTAAATTATAATTGGAAATAAAAATTTAATAAAAAAAAATATTTCTTTATCAAATAGTTCTCATTATAAACTATTCATACGAGATCAATATAAAACTTTGATAACAAATTCTAACATGTATTATAGGAACATATTTGTGTCAAATTATCGATTTATCATCTCTAAATTATGGTTTAATTCAAAATACTGAACGATTGAGAATTGAAATTAAACCTAAATGATAAAATTAATAAATAAGAAGACATATTTTTACAAGTATATATCAATTATTCAATATATACTTGATTTTGATTAGATTCATAATCAGTTCAACCCGAATTGACTTGCTCTAAAGGCTGATCTAAACCGAAAATCAACTGATCTGATATTGACCCGACTTGAAATCTAATCGATATGGTATTAACATGACCCAAAAATCAACTGACATGATATTGACCCGACCCGATATTGACCCGATCCTAAAATCAACCTATCCAATATTGATCCGAACCAGAAAACAACTGATCCAATAATCACCCGACCCGAAAATTGACCCGATCCGATTCACCGTACAATCGAGCCAGATCCGAACCAGATTCGATCTGATCTACACAAAATTAAACCGAATTTAATCTAGACCCAAAATTACTCGACCCGAAATTACTCGACCCAAACTCGATCCGAATGACTCGTTTGCCACCTCTATTGCCAAGCCAACGGTGAAGCATATTAAATTAATACAAAATAATTATAATACCATTTATTAATATTATTAATATAATTTTAGTAGTCTGATATGATTATAAAATAATATTTATTTAAAAGATTATTAATTATTTGACAATAAACACTCAAACTAACCTACAAACGTCTGGCTCGAGCATGAGATCATCTCTTTAACAATTGAAATAGCTAAAAGGAGAAGAACAAATCCATAGAATAAAATTAATTTCTCCTTAAAATTTTCAAGTCACGCCTTCAATTTACTTCTACGTCAATAATGTGCCAACGTGGAAAATAACCAAAACAAAAACATCAATCCATTGAGCCTACTTTACGTCAGTGACCTTTGGCTTTGGTAGTAACTAACCTTACAAGCATTACCTATAAAGCAGTGACCGTAGATCATATGATTTTGGCAGTGAAACAGAACTCTGTTAATTGAATCCAAATGATCCTCTCCGACGAATGATATGCTTCCGAACAAGTTTGAACTTCTGAGAAAATCTCCTTTAGATAAGACCATTCGAGATCCTCCATCGTACCTACTAGACTCGAGTTTCGGCCCCCCAAGGATTTAACTCTATTTCTCCCGGACGCCATGCCCGTAATCCTTCCTCTACTCGACTCGAGTTGCACACCATTTCCATCGTACCTACTAGACACTTACTAAGCTTCCGAAGTATTTCCTCTTGAACGTGGCCCTGCACATTAATATATCTCCTCCTTTCTTGTTTGTCTGAATCTTCACTGCTCGAAGCCATCCCATTGACATCTTTTGTTGACCCCCCCATGTCCGTGCGCCAAGCTTCCTTAACCATCATATCTTGTTTGCCCGTCTGATTTTCCGACCGACCAGATACCTCATATGAGGCAAAGTTATTTTTTCTCCATGCCTAAAACCTTTCTCTGTATTTAGCTTCCTTTACTAATAATCAAAATCCATAAGCACTAACGCCATCGAACCTCTTCATTACTCTACTAGCATCCACTTTGTTAAAAAATCTTACAAACCCAAAACGTTGTCCAAACATGTCCTTCTTTCTAGTTATATAATAATCAACCACGTTTCCATGTCTCAAATAGTTGTCTCAAATCACTCTAGTGAAAATCCGTTGATATGTTTTGAACGAACAAAGTGATTATATGGCTTCCCCTCTAGCTTCCCTAATACTAATACTATTATATATAGAGAGAGAGAGAGAGGAGCAATATTTAATTACTTTGTGTAAAATTTTTTAGCCTTACATCTTTTTAGGACAATTGGACGAGAAAAATTAAAGGATGAGTTTAATATTAGAAAATGAGAATATATTCATTAAGAAAAAAACAAGGAACTAATATCAGCCTTTAATTTCCCTCAATCTAACGGTCCAAAATAGTATAAAACTAAAAGAGTTTTGCATAATGTATTATATATATATATATATATATATGGGGCATTATCCTATTACACCCAGACTAAAACTAAGACGTTTACATAAATTTAGGATCGTTAGAGAATGGAAATCAAAGGTTGAGATTAACAGTAGAAAATGAGAAGACATTCACTGAAAAAATAAAGTTAATATCAGCCTTTGATTTCTCCTCATCTAACGATTCTAAAAAGATGTAAAACTCTTAATTTTACAGTGGGCGTAGGTGGATCCTAATTTATATTTTATTACATAGTATTTATATTATATATTATTAATATTTATAGTAATTGTATATTATTTATTATAATTATTTATTAGTGATTTTAATTGTGTAGGTTCAAATAAGTCCAAATGATGTGCAAGAGATTTACTCTATCTAATTAAGTGTAACAAAATGTTAATTTTTCTCTCTAGAACTTTAAATCGATTAGAAAAATATATTTATTTAATTGAAAAAGGGATCATTAATTAAATTAAAGTTTAAAATCATATATTTCATTGCAAAGATAATAATTAGTCGACTATGAGTCAATTTTTGGATGTTTTAGGGTGTTAATCATTCCTCACAAGTAATTAACTCCTGAATTCATTTTCCTGGGAAGTAGACCAAATGTTATTTTAATAATTTTTAAGTGAATTATATTAAAAAAAAATTGAGTGATACGTCACATCCTAAACAAAGATTAGTATCGATTCTATGAACCTTGTTTTGAAAACCCAAATTTTAGTCGAAACAAACTCTAAAATTATCTTTTTCTATATTTCGGGATATTACGACACCAGTTTAGCAACTGTTAATGCGATGGGGTGTAAGGTCGTGGTGGGCTTTAGCTTAGCGATGTGTGCTCTCGATTGAGTATTGATGATTTGTTGGGTTAGTAATTGCTTGTTGATGGTGAATTAGGGTGTTGGTGGTGAGCTTTTAAGGGTTGTGACAATAGTGATGATAATGTCTCACCGTAATTTTGGGAGAAAAATAATAATCAAGTGATCAAAACAGAAATTAAATAATAGATAAGTGATTAAATAGGTAGTTTAACGTTTAGTTTTTTTTAAAGAGATAAGGTCACCTGTACCACATAATAGAAGAGAGGAAAAGTCGATTCATGTGGCCATTTGTACTAGAAAAATAAGAGAGGAAAGGTCGCAACAAAGGATCAAATTGTAATTATTGAAATATTTTTGTTGGTAATTGGTTCAAATAAAGTGATTTAGTATCAAGATACTTTACCCCCTCAAATTAAAATCATGTCTCCGTCCCTAGTTAACATTGTTAATTGGCACATCAACATCATAACACTTAGCGTACGATAGTTTTTGTTGATTAAAAAATAACATTTAACACAATTTTAAAATAACATTGATGATGTTTTAACTAAAGAGCAACATTAATAATTTGGATTAGACTAAATCATTTACTTTACTTAGGGGCTTAAATGAATTGAGTTTGAACGAATAAGGTTATATTTGTGTTTACTTGTTTATTTTTTAAGTTATCCGTATTCAGTTTATTTGGCGTTCACTAACATGTTCATTTATATGTTCCTAGACATATTCATTTAGTTTTCACGAACATGTTATGTTAAGAAATGATAAAATTACTTCACTAATTCTTAAGCTCCTTAAGTTTTACTTTCTGAACTCAAAAGTTCATCGTGTGTCCAATTTAGCCCCTACTTTCCTCAATATTTAAATTATACAAAAATAAAGGAAAAAGAGAATCGGGTAAATAAGCTAATAAACATATTGGTAAACAAGTATTGAAATAAGCTTATTCGTGAATATAAACATACCAAACAAACATCTATTCATATTTGTTCATTTGTTACATAAACATAAAATTTTTATTAATATTCATTTATTTACTAATGATGAGTTAATTAGATGAATTACCGTTGTCATATTATTTATTAACTATCAGGTCGATGAATGTTAAAGTTCGTATAAAATCTAACAAAACAACCTAAAATCCAATAATGTAAGAAATAAAGTGTAGGCCGGATGAAGTATATGATTAAAACGATGAATTAATATTAAAAAAATGAAGTCAACTAATAGATAAATGAATAAGAAAACAATATTTCTAGGGCACTGTACAGTTACATTGAGCCAGCAGTGCCATTAATGTGGGTTATTTCGTTGTCGTAAATAATAAAAGGTGGGTCGGAAATTCCCTTTGCCGACACTTTTTTTCTCTTACACAATTCTCCATGTGTTTCTTCAACAATTTAATATGTTCTTTAACAATGGAAGTAACCTAATGAGACAACCCTAAAATCTTGTTCTTTTAAGACAGACACGTGAGAGAATAGAAGAAGGTTAAAGAAAGTGTCCCTATTTGTTAACTATTAGTGTTTAAAATTCGGATGAATCAATTCAGTGATAAAGAAATTGTTGTTATTCTTTGAGATTTCAGGTTTGAGTACTAAAAATATCAAAAGTGTGAGTGATAAATATAAAATGGTTGAAAGTTAGCTTTGAACAGAAATTATTACCTCATATTAATAAAAAAATATTATTTAAAATTAATATCTAATATATATTCAAATAAAAATATAAAGTTCAGTCATAAATAGAATCGTTTGTTTATTTTGTGTTTTAAGATTTTATATCTTTATGCATATAAATTTAAGTATATTATTTTATTAATATAGGGTGATTACAAGTTATAACATCTGTTATAAAGACTCTCAACCAATTGACAATAAATATTTAGATATTTTACAGTCGTTGGTATTCGACCTCGAAACCTTTAAAATAATAATAATTCATTTAATCACTATAATCGCTTGATTCGTGCATAAATTTAAATATATTTGAACCTATATCTTTCTGAATATTATAATAGTAATGATATCAATTAAATTAATAATTAATTATATATATGTATCTCAAAAATAACTCTCAAAGTTCTCCCCTTTCTCTTTTTTTTTTTTACAATTTATGTCAATTTTTATAGATCAAATCAATTTTTTTTTCTTTGATTTTTTTAATAGTTAACGACATCTATTTTGATATTGATTGTCGACCACCCATTTGTGTCAATGTTTATAGATCAAATCAATCCACGTGGATTGAATTGCAACATTAAAGGAAGTTTCATTTTGGTACCAAATTATAATGATATTTTCGAAAGAAAGGCTTTTTTTGACTTGATTCAGTAGCATTTAAAGCCAAAAAAAGACTGTAAGCTCATGCTGATTCATGCTGATTCAGTAGCAGCATCCTTTATAGTGCCACGATATATAACCTAAAAAAATTAACCTCCATTAGCTCTAACCTCGAACCGGATAACCGAGCTCCGACTCCGTTGTCGATAGTTGAATTCGCATCGAGAGGATGAAGATTCATATGAAGGTCTTTGCTTGGAACCTTTGAATGATTGTGCTCTCTGTTTACAGATTAATGGAAGCAAAAACCTATTTGAAGTTAGTCAACTGCCAATATGAACAATTTGCCAATATGTGATTTCCGGACTTTCATTAGGCTTCCATCTTCCGATGCTTGCTGCCGGCATCAGTTTCTTTCAGTCTTTCTAGGGCCGTGAGATTGGCATGTTGTGTTGCAAAGGAAATTGCTTTCTTTCCCTTTTCGTCATGAGGGAGTTCGCGGGTTTCGCCGATGGATCCGGACCTCAAATCACCTGGAGGGATGAAGCAATCGATTGAAAGGCCTGGTACGTCGAAGGCAACCTCCTCGATCGTCCATGCTTCTTCCATCTTTGTTTTCGTATGGCTCATTGCAACTTCCCCGAACCTGAAAAGCGTGACCACGGAACGCCCGGAGTGAGCTATCATTATACCTTCGACGGGTCGGTAATCATCGAGATATGAATTGATTGTGGTTTCCCAATAAAAAGCATCACCACCGTTGGTTTGGATGCGAGTCAGATGTGAATCTTCGATGTGAACGAGAAGTCCGGTTTTCTGACTAAAGTAGCCAAATAAAACATGCCTAATGATCTCGGCAGGGCCTTCGCTCCTCGCCTTCAGCGTCTGCGGATCGGTACAAAGCTTGAGGATGAAGCAATCCTCACCGTCAATCTTTTTCTCTCCTATGCATCTTGCATCAGCAAACATACTAGCAGTGATTCTCGGATCAAGACCCTAACCCCAAATACATTATCAGGAAACGAACAAATGCTAAACGTATAACCGAACTGCGTCGAAAACCTCACTTGAAGAGCACGACGCAGAGGTCGAACCGGCCCCTTTGCGGTGTGACTCCCAAGCCAAGGCGTGTGCCTCCACACAATCTTCCCATTACAACCAGCACGAACCTTACTTCCCCCGACCGCGAGCTCGACATACCACACGTCCGGATTCATTTGCCAGAGCACAAATCCACCGGACTCCGCGCCTCTCGAGCAATTGTGATTCTTAACCGTCCTCGCGGCGGTCTCGTATTCGCAAGCTACCATTTTAAACTTTCCCATTGCATAAGCGTTCCGAATCGAGTTTTGCAGCTTCTGCCCACCGGAAGCAGCCGTATACTGCTGCAATATGTACTGAGCAGTGGAAGTTTCCTATAGGCAAAACCATAACATGAACCACCATACTAAAAATCACAGAATTTTAGCAGTAAAAGAGAATCCACTAGTTATCAATTAGAATCCCCAGAAAATTTCACCATAAGTTTTCTCGCTAACCAAACAGCTGATCAAAATAAACTAAAATGAGAGAAGAAAAAGGGGAACTAACAATGGGGGTGTCTTTGATGCTCAAATGAGGCAAAGGGTTAGTGAAGCTAACGTGAACCGGAGCCAAAGGCGCTCCCATGACCCCAAGAACCAACCGTAGATCGGACCGCCGATAACTCATCGAAGCAACGGAAGGTGTCCTCGATAACTGTCCCTTAACCCATTGTCCTAGCCCCAAACCGACCCGCTTCGAGCCCCTGACTTCGCCTCCGTCGGAATCGGGGCCTTCAATGAGCGGAGCCAACGCTTCCCCGACGATCCTTAGACTTCCGGATCTCGCGATCAACGGCTCCGGTTGCGCCACGTTGGTTTTCTTCCTCGGTAACAGACCGGACATGGGCGAACGAGGCCTCGCCGGGCTGACGGACCGAGAGCGGGAAGGGGAGAGCCCGCGAATCACTTCTTTTTTCAGAGCTGAGAAAAATCCTTGCTTTTTCTCCATTACTAGTCGGATTTTTCACTGAAAAATACCCAAAAATTTCCCTCTTTCGACTTGGAAATCGGAGAAAAAAAAAGACAAAAACAGAAGAAAACAAAAGGGTTGGATCAATGGGAAGTTTTAGATAGGAAAAAACAGAGCTTTGAGGTTCCTTTCATGGAGTTTCTTAGTGAGAAAATAGAACGCATAGCATGGAGTATAAACGCTGCGACTTTTCAGTGTGTGAAATGCAGTTTTATTGTTTATATGGTAAACTTTTATTCCAAAGTTAACAATTTTAATAATATTTTGTGAAACACACTTTTTTGCTCTTAAAAACTTAGGGATAAAACAAAATTTAATCTTCAACTTTATAGTATTTCCAAATTTGGTCCTTAACCCTTTTTCTTATGTTTGTCCTCAGTTCGCGATGAGCAATGAACAGGATAGTAATTAGTATAAAGTATACGTTTAGTATTTAAATTATTAGTTTTGATTCGTTTTAATATTTAAAGTTTTGATTTTTTTAAAATCATACTTAAAATTTAGTTTTTTGTTTCATTTCAGTACCCACCACTAAAATCTTCAGTTTTTGTTTCATGTTAGTACTCATGTTTAAAATTTAACGTTAAGTTTTGAAAAAAAATTAAAAGTTTAGGCGCTAAAACGGACCAAATTTGATAGTTTATGTACTAAACTCGTTAAGTTTTTAATGACATGATACTAAAATGAAATAAAAACTAAATATTAGGTATGATTGAAAAAAAATTAAGTATTAAAATGAGTCAAAACTGATAGTTTAGGTACTAAATATACAATTTACCCTAATAATTATCAGTTAGAAAATTTTATCACAAAATTAAGTCTATCATGACCTTTAATTCTATCACTCATAAAGTTTATCTCGATTTATTCTGAATATGAATTAGAAAAATATAATTTTCTAGAACTGGATCAGATCAAAACTAATCTAATTTGAATATTTTAACCATCCTTACTCTAATTTTGAATTAGAAAAATGTATATATTATATATATTATAAACCTATTTTAAGCTCAAACGTATTAAAAATCATTACCCGATTATTTTTTTAATCACACTAGATTCGTTAAATTATCAATACCTAATTAATTTGTAACTCAAATAAAAAAAATATGCATATACTATATTTAAATTAATCTAATTACAAAAAATTTCGATTAATTCGATTAACCGACTAAATAACCGAACTTTGTTCGGTTCGGTTAATATTTTCAAAGAAAAGTTCGGTTCGATTAACGGTTAAAGCAAAAAAATTCGATTAATTCGATTAATGGTAATTCGGTTTGGTCGGTGGCCGAATTAACCGTTTGAACACCCCTACTTAAATCCTAAAATTAGATTTTTGTTCATTTTACTACGTTGTACTGTAAGATTATATCACATCATTATTTAAAGAAAGAAATATTTTTTTGGTGTTATACGAGATTAAATCCCATAGTCTTTATCAAAATGGCTAAAACTTTGAGTTATACCAAGTAGTAAAAAGTTGTCAAATTCCAAAACCAATGTGGGTAAAAGAATTCAAGGATTAATTAGAGTGAAAATTACAAATTGTAGGGACTAAGTATTATTTAAACCCATAATTTATTAATTGAAGAATGTGCCTTTTGAATCAGGCAAACGTCATAGATGGAATCGGGCTTCGGTCATGGCATATATTCAGCAAAAAGTTTAGATGCATGTATGGCGAGTACAACGTTAAATGTACTCGTGCAAGTAGCCAAGTAGTGGCCCCGTTTGTCTCGCGGGGCCCGATGGAACTTTTGTGATTCAAGGACACGTATGATTTTTGAATTATCCAATCGCAACGCGCATGATGACACGTGGCGATATGTTAGAGAGAGTAGGTAAAGAGGTCTTGAGGAAAGGGACAACAATAATTTATAAGGTTTAATTATAAAATAAGTGATCAAATTATATCGTTCGAATCATTCATTAGGTGTTCGAACCTTAACGATACTTAAATTCCACCTTTTAGTGATAGATGTCTCATTGTAGTATTTTTAAAAATTTTATTTAAAATATCACCCAAAAAATTGAAAAAAAATCAAAACTTTGAAAACTCCAATTTCAATCCTTAAACTCACGTCGACTGTCGCCATTTGACGTCAATCAAGCCTCCACTAGAGCCTCCATCATATGACAAGTCAAACTCGATCATAAGTCTCACATCTTTGACGAACTCAAACCCTGAAATTCATCACACCTAGGCAAATGAATGATGATTACGATGGCAAGGGATACAATGACCAACCAGAGAGACGACAAGGGTGGTATCGGCAACGTCAATTGTGGTTGGCAAGGGAAGTTAAGGTTAGGGTTATAGGTTTGGGATATTTAGAGATTTCAGACTTTTTTTGTAATTTTTTTTAAAAAATAGGGTTTTTTATAAATATAATAATTAAAAAAAGTACAATGCATGACACGTGTCACTTAACGGAATTTTTAACGGTCGTTACACCTTGGGCACCTAAAATAGTAACGTTTGTAACGTTAGGAACATGAATAATTCAAAAAAAAAGTTTGGGCACCTATTTGGAAAAGAGTGTATAGTTTGAGCACTTATTTTATAATTAAGCCTAACTTTTGATGGAAATAATCAAAATATTTAGATATAGGGCAAATTATACAAATCAATACTCAACTTTTTCTCACTCCTATTTTGGTCACTCAAATTTAAAAATTCTCAACAAAGGTTAAACTTTATACATTGAACTATTTTGGTCACTCCTCAGTTAGTTTACGCAATGACATTGCTCTTTAGATTAAACTTTTCTCACTTTGACCTTTTTCACTTTCTAATTATCATATATTGATGCTTGTGTTTCTTCTCCCTTAAATTGGGGTGTTTTACCCAAAAATTACCCAAATTATATAATATTACTTGTCAGGCACCCTTTCTCCAAATATTACTGATCTAGTATCATTTATGACAAAGTGATAATAAGGTGCGTGGTAGGGAATGCGCCTTGCATATGTGGAGGGAAGGTGTGTGGCAGGGAACGCGCCTTGCATACGTGGAGGGAAGGCGTGTTACAGGAATCGCGCCTTCCATGGGTTTTATCCGACGTGGCGCCACATGGGGAAGATGCGTCCTCGGAGATGCGCCTTCACGGGGAATTCTGACACCTGGAAAAAGGCGTGTTACAAGCCCCACACCTTCCACTTAAATCCCACCTACCAACCTTTAATACCACCCGTCCCTCTCCCCTATAAATACCCCATTAACAAGCGTTGTTTTACTCGTAAAAAATAATAAATAAATCCTCTTTAAACTGAATAAGTGTAGTATAGAAAGAGGGTCGATCCACAGGGAAAATACAAAATTTCTACGCAAACAAATTTCGAGTTCAGATCGTCTAGACTCTCGTTGGTGACGAACTCGTATACCAAAAGCTTTTCCTGGCAATAAACACAGTAACAAAAAAGATTCACAACATTGCGGTGATGCACACGAGCTAGCAACCGAGCCTCGTTCTCAAACTCCCTTTCACCCTGATTTGAGCTATGAGATAGCTTCTTCACTGCAACCTCTCTTCGATCGTTCTCAAACGATTCCTTTAACCACAAAGGTAAGTTGGTTCGTGCTCAATCTATTTCTCATAAAATTAAGGCCTCTAATTTATTTTTCAATTTCATAAAATTCTCAATTTCTCATCCATTTCTCCATCTGTCTGGTTAATTCATTTAATTTTGAATTAAATCTAATCATATTTGTCTTTTTTTTTTTTACAAATATCGTTTTTTCAATTTACCAAATATTCATTAACTCCTAGTCTTTTACAATCTCAATCTAATGATAAAATAATACGTTATTCTTTATTTTTTTAATTTATTATTCAAAATCAAGCTTCATACCCATGTTCGATTTTTTATTCTCTTAGTTGCATTTAAGGTGTTTTCTTAACAAAACAATGAAATTAATGTTAATTCTGTTAATGATAATTTTCCAAACATATCCTAAATTTTATGTTAATTATATTATCATCTGATTCAATTACAATATATCATTCTCAATATATTAAATATTAATCTTTTACAATGTTTTTTAACAAATGATTAATTAAATGACCTGTTTATAATCTTTTGAAATTCAGTGAACTATAGTACATATTACCCAAAAAAAGTAATATCCAATAGCTCTTTTGGTCTCCGTTGCCTGGGCTTCCATTCCACAGGCTCTGACACTCGAAGACCAGTTAGCTTCTCAATTATTTAAGTCCATCCTCATATTGGGCACTAAGATGTACTCAAATGACTTATATATGGGTGTTGGGTTGAATTATAATTAGATTTTTTTTTAATTCGGAGTAAATACAATGTATTATCTGTTTAAAGATAAACTCTCAATCATTTGACATTGAACACTTGTACATCTGACATTCAAGGTGCTCGAACTCGAAATCTAAAAAAATAACAACAATTACTTTACTATCAAGGTCGCTTGATTCATGTTAATTTTTCTTATTTAAATATATTTATCTTGGAAGTTGGCCTAAAGTCGTAAGTATTTACGAATTTTTAGATATGAAAGATTAAATTTATTGAATTATTTTGAATTAGTATTAAATTTTATAGATCACATAAATTTTGATGTCTAAAACTATTATTATATTAGACCGCATCACTATTCCGTTTAATAATTCATCATAAATGATATGTTTGTGATTATATTTTAATTAAGAAACCTATTTGTAGCTTTTAGAAAAAAATAATAATTCGTTCCTTAAACATAATTGAATGACACGAAATATATTTTACTCTTTAATATATTATAGTTTGAATGTTAATATCTTAAATCCAGACCTATTCAAATGATGTGAAGGTCCTGTGTTACTTTTAAAAACGAAACCCTTAAAATATTTTATAATAAAGATTAATTTGTCAAATTTGAAATTAGAAGGATCTATGAGATTTCTTTTACCGAAATTCACAATGAAAAACGATAAAAGATATTGTCAAAATCTTCGTTTATAACTTTCTCTGTCATTTTATTGAGAGTCAAACGAAAAATTTATTTTTCCTTCGAACGTAAATATCGTCAAAGAACAAATATTATACATGAACGAACCTAAGTGACATTCATGTGTTGGGCCCTTCAATTTTAAGGTCATGTGAAAAATTACATTCTACACTTATCATTGGACGAACCTGCTTAAACTTTAAACCC